AAGAAACAGTCAACCTCTTTCTTTTTAACAGAGTGTACAAATAAAAGAGGCATTGAACAGGTAACTGACAGGTAAGTAAGAGACATAGAGTTTAGTTCTGATTTTGTCAGTAACTAATAAAAAGCCTTGGAAAGATTACTAAAGCCTTCTTGCCCTCTATTTTCTCATCTGTCAAAGGTGGGCTTGGACAAGATCTCTAAGGACCCTTCCAGCTTAATGAAATGCTAATATCCTAAAGAAGTAGGTGGGAAAAGCCATGATGGTCAAGCCAGCTGTTTCTGAAAAGTTAAAAAAGAGTGTTGTTTCTTCCACAAGCCCTGGTTTTGAATGTAAAAAGTATGTCACAGTTTAAAATCACCCACATTTGTGCCTTTGATGGTGAAAAAGTGTACCACCAGAAGCCGACAAAGTTTTGTTTAAAAACAAGCTATTTTCAGGAACAGCTCTCTGAGTTAAAGCGCTAATTCACAAAATTGGTTTGGCTGGTATAACACTGTCTTCTTTCTGCAATTATTAGGCTCTGAAAGGTTTTTATTTCCCCCTCCTAACAACATTTCATTTCAAAACTGTTTGATCCTTAAATAAACCTGTAATTTCTCCTGTGGAGAAGGGAGGGCAGATGGAGGTCTACAGTTTAGCCCAAATGACTTTATATTTCACAGAAGATTATTACAAGATGACAAATGTGAACCTTAAGAATTTTAACAATAAACTCAATCTATCCAAAGAATGTTCCACTGAACACAAGTCTGGGAAATCATCCACAAAATGGTTCCATCATAAAATAAATCGAACAAAACCTGAATTTAACATAACAGAAAAGAAAGTTGTGATTGTTTGCTTTTGCCTGTTGGACTTCTCAGAGTTAAACGTGTTGAGAATGCATGGAGAAGCTCCACAAGGGGAAGAGATAATAGCAAGAGTCCCAGAGTGATTTGACCATTTATGAACCTAGTATTTCATGGAGCACATTTTAGGTAAGGCTGCCATGAATATGACAGCTGACTACAACAAGGACGTAACTTTAGACTTGACAGGATACTTATTCCTGAACTTTAGGTTCTACAATCCAATTAGGAACTTGTACATTTAACTCTATTTTTATTAACACCCTATTTATATATTAACTAGTATGTTTAACTCTATTTTTATCCATATCAGATGTATTTGATAATAGATGTGACAACAGCCAACTAAAATCTTTGACAGTCAAAGTGATTTCTACTTCTTGAGATTTTCTTGGAATGTAGAAGCAGCCCCACTCCATAAGGACTGGGTTCTCCCTCTGCTACAAACATACCCTGTGATAACAGGCCATGATAAGGGGAATTTTCTCTCCTCTATTTCTTTTTTATTTTTCCTAACTATTCATAAGCTCAACTAAGAATCAATTTTCTACAACGCAGCAAAACAATGAGAAGACATCAGGCATGGTGCTGACAATGGAGTGAGAACTGATGCTGTCTCCATGTAACTGAAAGACTCTGCAGCACAGGTCAGTATTTGTCTCAGGGTCTCAGCTTTCTCACACGCATGGGAGGTAAACATATGACATGCTTTCACGTCTCATGATTCTCTGATTTGGGCAGTGGCCCATTGTTATCTCTGAAGACAATTCCAAGGTGGAGTTACACTAGCAAATGACAAAATAGGAGTTTCCAGCACTCATTCCGTCTCAGAAACATCTAAACAAATAGCCACACATCAAAATACCTTCCCATACATTAAGGAATTCAGGTGAGGGAGTGCAACACCTGGGTGGAGCACAGAACTAAGAAATGATGCATTGAGGAAGGCAGGAAGGACAGTTTAATATGACCTGCGCAACCCCCTGTACGCTGCTGAGATGACCTCCAAGTGACAGAGAGTGCCCTGCACCATGGAGCCCAGGACTAGACTCCTCCCTAAAGCAAAATCAGTATCTCAAAGAGACACTTGCACTCCCATGTTCGCTGCTGCATTATTCACAATACCTAAGACATGGAATCGAACTAAATGTCCATCAGTTGAAGAGTGAATAAAGAAAATGTGGTGTATAACCACGTGGAACATTATTCAGCCTTAACAAAAAAGGAAATCCTGTCATTGATGAGACGATGGATGAATCTGGAGGAAATTTTGCTGAAGGAAATAAGCCAGACACAGAATATACTGTGTGACCTCCTGAGATTGCAATCTGAAAAAGTCAAACACATGGAAGCAGAGTACAATGATGGTTACCAGGACCAGAGGAATGAGGAGACCTTGGTTCTTGGTCAAAGGATACAAAGATTCAGTGACACAAAATGAATGATTCTGGAGATTTAATACACGGCGTGGTGGCTACAGTTAATACTGTATTATCTACTTGAAATTTGCTGATGGAGTAAATCTTAAACGTTCTCACCACATACACAGAAAGGTAACTATGTGAGGTGATGCCTATGTTAATCAGCTTGATTATGGTAATTATTTCATAATGTAATGTATAGCTTAACATCAAAATATGTTGTATAGCTTAACAATATATAACTTTTGTCAATTGTATCTTGATAAAACTGGAAACAGATTTTTAATAAAAAACAAAATTAACAATAACATTCAACAGAGAAGAAAGAAAAGAAAGAAAAAGAAAGAAAGAAAGAGAGAGAGAGAAAGAAAGAGAGAGAGAGAGAGAGAGAGAAAGGGAAAGAACATTACCAAGATGTTTTCAGCAATGGCAGCAAATTAGGAACCAGGGTTCCCTTTGCCTGAATTCCGGTCTCAAAGAGAATGCTGCTCGAATAGCTCTACCCATGGCAGGTACGTGTTCTAAGGTCTAGGCTAAAACTCCAGTCTCTTGATTCTACAATCATAATATGTAACGCTTGGCCAGCAACATGGACACCATGGTTCCTCATTAAGTCACTTGCTAAAAGTGACAAGAAACTTAAAATCAGCTTAACATAGCAGAGAGCAGAGGCAGGACAGACGCAGTGTGGAAACGCATTCACCACACACATCAGGGTTGCTGGTGGCATCCCTTCTTGTCATAATGACCTTCTACAGGAAAAGTCTCTAAATATACAGCTCTATTGCCCAGAATATAATGCATTCCAGGAAATACTCTCTTGCTGAAACCTACTCAGATTTATTTTTAATGGCAGAGGACAAGAGTGGTTTTAATATTAGTTTCTAGGAAAAGGAAGAGATAAAGAGAGAAAAGTGAGATTTAGAGATCACCACAAAAAAAAAAAAAAAAAAAAGCCAAGTCAGGCGCAGCAGTGCATGCCTATAATCCCAGCACTTTGGGAGGCCAAGGCGGGTGAATCACAAGGTCAGGAGATCGAGACCATCCTGCCAACATGGTGAAAATCTGTCTCTACTAAAAATACAAAAATTAGCTGGGCATGGTGGCACATGTCTATAATCCCAGCTACTCGGGAGGCTGAGGCAGGAGAACTGCTTGAACCAGGGAGGCAGAGGTTGCAGTGAGCTGGGATAGCACCACTGCACTCCAGCCTCATGACAGAGCAAGACTCTGCCTCTAAAAAAAAAAAAAAAAGTGGGGGGCCAAAGCACTTCTATCACCCTTAAAACTCATCTGAGAGAGAGGGAAAAAAATAAATAAATAAGGAAGACTCAGTAGCCCTTTCTTAGCCCTGTGATTAGTGCGCTAAAGAGAACTCTATGATTCCTCTACAGACATCCAACATTTGCTGCCTCTGTCATTTCTATTCTTCCTGCCTCTCACTCAGACAAAAGAAGAGAGCCCCCTTTGAAATACATTTATTAGAAATGACTCCAGGGCTTGCTCCTCTGTTTATTTTAATATACAAGACACGGAAACTACAAAAGCCTCACTTACTTATCTAGTGGTGCTGGAACTTGGGTCCCACCTCCAGTAACAGGCCTCCAAATGATCTGAATGGTGGCCAGAGAGTGACAGGGATCAAACATGAAAAATAAAATAAAATGTGCAGTTCCAACACTCCACCTGGCCTGGGAGAAAGTGTTTCCTCTTTTCTGCCAGGTCAAATCCAAATTCTAAAGAGCGTGCAGTTTCCAGATCAAATCCCTCCTCCTCCAGAAAGTCTTTGTTTTCTCTCTACTTAACTCCAATCCCAGCTAAAACTAACGCCTCTCTCCTCTAATGACTACAAATTCCTCAACTCTACCTCTGAGTGTTTTTGCATGTCTATCTCCAATAAAAGTTTTCTGTATTGCCACCAGGCCCATTCTCCCAAAGTGTAGAGGCTGTATCTGGTTTAATTCAACAAATATGAAGATAAAATTTGCCTACAAAAATGACATAAGGCAGATATACAAACAAGTATCATACAAGAAAGACGCTATTAAAGACAATAAGACAGGGACAGATAAAAGATTCCAGGACAGAAGTTAAGCAAGTCTGCGTCAGATGTGAAACAAAGACCTACAAACACAACATATTGCCTGAAAAAAATGGAGATAGCTAACGTTAACTGAACATAAATAACAAGTCAGGCAGGGTCTTAAACATTTTTGGTAATAACTCTTAATCCCCAAAGTAATCCTTGAGGTAGGCACTGTCATTACCTTCATTAGGCAGGAGGACGATGAGGCAAAAGAACTGCAGAGAGTCCACGTAACTTTCCTAAGCAAATGGCATCGCTTTCAAACCTCGACCAAGACAGCCCAGCTAACGTGCTTGACCACACTTCCACAGAGGACCACCAACCTCCTGCCCAAAGAAACAAGGGCACGGTACTTTCTAGAGCTCAGCCAAAGTAGGGCATTTGCAAAGAAACCAAAGATGTAAACGGTCCATACACCTAGGAAAATGTAAGGGTAAACTCATGCTCCAGGGATCTGAGCTGCCTTTATGGAAATAGGAATCTCCTAAAGTTTTAGAGGGAATGACTGAAGCTACTAATCCAGCTGCAGCCTTTTCTAATTTACCTGACTTCCTCAAATTGGAACTTACTCTTTGCTGACAGTAGAGAGGCTGAACGTCTAGTTGTACTGTATTTTTTTGTGAGAGACAGAAGTATGATTCTTACCTTGACTACTAGCATTAGAAATGCTGATGCTACCTTCATGATGAATCCACGTGCACTTTCCTTCCAGAAAAGGTTAAAGGCCTTTTAGCAGAAAAATACCAGGTGTGAAAACCAAACTTGAATGGTGAAAGATATCATCTTGTGGCCGATCTTAATGGCACTTAATTCTCAGATGAGGGATTCTGTAGTAAACAACCACTTGATTCTGTGCACAACATTTTTAATTTCATGCCCTGCTAATCACACAGCTGTTAAATTTCCCTTCCCATCAGTTGTAAAAAAAAAATAATAAATAGAAAATCATTGTAATAATAATTTAAAAAACAGTTGGGCCTCAAACAAAATTTAAGCCCTAATGAATTTTCCCATCTAGAATTAATAATGTAGTGGATGGTGAAATTGTCCGGATTTAGTTGATGTGAATTTATATTACAATGTTTTAAAGTATCAAAATGTAAGGCTCTGAACATCAAAAGCTTCTGACATGCTGGCCACAAAACATGGTGGCCACTTCATCCTTATACTAACCCGGCAGCTGATAATGTATTCCAACAGATTTTAACAACTTATTTTCTTCCACTGTGCCCTTATCTCTTCTCAGCCACAACAGGCACTATACACACAGAAGTGCTGGCCAGACGTGGCACTGCGGACTTGATGATTCAGAGCCTGAAGAAGAGAAAACCGGTGTGTTCATATTGTAAACACGTCAATCTCACCAATACAGGGAAATGAAAAGAGGCTATCTTTAATGCTGCGAATACAAATGAAAGCTAAGGAGTAAAGGATGGAGGGCGATGTAAAAGTATGAGGAGGAAGAGAAAGAGGAAGTCCAAGGGAGCATGGCAGTGAGAGTGAGGCCATGGTGCAGGAGGGAGAAGCTAACGGCCAGGAAAGAAAATTCCAGAAGGAAAGTGGCAAAAACGATATCTAATAAAGAAAAAGACAAATGCACAAAAGGCAGTAAAATAAGCATAGTCAGATGGATCAGGGTATCAGAATCTTCAAAGGAGATATTCTCATATTTCTATGTATCTCTTTTCCCATAACCTCAGCTATAAATACTTTAAGAAATGCCTAGCATAGTTAACATACTGTCCCTTTATCTGGCATGATTCTACACTAAATTTCATTTGCGGACATCCTTTTAGTCTTCAAAAGGAATGTTCAAATACCTTCTCCTTCAGGAAGCCCCTCCTTCATGCTCATGCCCACAGAAACCCTCCTTCGGGTTCCCACAGCCTGCTGTCTGTACATCTCCTTTATCATACTGTACATCTTGCTTGGTGCAAGAGCTAGTTATTTATGTGTTTATGTCCCCTACAGAATAGTGAGCTCTGGGAGGAAAGGAAATACATTTAGCCATATTTTTATTCCTTGGTAGCAGACCTAGGCTTTGCAGAGTAAGCACTTGAGGAATAGACATGTTTTCTTAAGAATACCTAAAGGTGTCAGGCGCAGTGGCTCGCGCTTGTAATCCCAACACTTTGAGAGGCCAAGGTGGACAGATCACTTGAGGTCAGGAGTTTGAGACCAGCCTGGCCAACAGAGGGAAACCCTGACTCTACTGAAAATACAAAAATTAGCCTGGTGTAGTGGTGGGCACCTGCAATCCCAGCTACTCAGGAGGCTGAGGCAGGAGAATCACTTGAGCCCAGGAGGTGGAGGTTGCAGTGAGCTGAGATTGTGGCACTGCACTCCAACCTGGGCAACACAGTGAGACTCTGTCAAAAAAGAAAAAAAGAAAAGAAAAGAAAAGAGGGGAGGGGAGGGGAGAAAGAGAGAGAGGAAGGAAGGAAGGAAGGAAGGAAGGAAGGAAGGAAGGAAGGAAGGAAGGAAGCAAGCAAGCTAGCTAGCTAGCTAGAGGATGTACCCTTTTTAGGTATTTTTGTGATAATAAAAACATAATTTTAAAGATTTATATAAATTTAGCCATAATATAACACCCTATGCCTCCTATAAATGGCAACCACTACTACTATTTCATGGCTCTTTTCAAGTGCACATGAGAAGTTCAGAAAGTAATATTCAAAATCTTTATCACAGTTTATCCGAAGAAAATTATAGTATAAATATAACATTATTCTTCGACCTATGCATACAACTATTGGTATGAAAATCATTTCCAGAAATCTGTAAGAGCTTTCCTAAAATCCCCATATCCCATGAGCTCCACCCACCATTCCATATTTCATTAAAAACAAACAGCATTTCTTTCATACCTCATCTTTAATGGTAAAGCAAATGAGTCAACTGAACAGAAATGAAGAAAACATCAACAATAATTTCCTACTAGTACCACTGTATTTCCATAGCACTTTATATACCTGCTGTCTCATTTGATCTTTTTCATGGGCTTCTGCAGTGCAAGGAAATGGAATAATCACTTTAGAGACAAAAAAACTCAAGTCCATAAGATGCGATTTGTCCAAGAACACACAGCTAGTAAGAGGTAATGGCAAGATGTGATTCAGGATTCAAGGCTTTTCATCTAGATGTTTGTTCATTTATGCAAAGCTGTCTCCCTTACCTAATAAAAGTGTTTACCAGGCATAAGAAGTGGAAGATGGAGACTCTAAGACTCACATAAATAAAAGGTTGTCTAATTCAGGCCGGTGTGGCGGCTCATGTCTATAATCCCAGCACTTCGGAAGGCTTCAGTGGAAGGATCACTTGGGCCCTGGAGTTCAAGATCAGCCTGGACAACATAGTGAGATCCCATCTCCACAAAAAGAAAAAAAAGTTATATAATTCAGACAGGGCATCATATGGATTTCATGAGAAGAAATAGAGAGGTGGGTGGGAGAAAGAAGGAAGGAAGGGAAGAAGTAAAGAAGGGAAGGAGAGAGAGGAGGAGGCAACGAAGAAAGGAAAGACTTTGGACTAAGATAGCCAGTTAAATATCCTGGAAAACAGAGGTCTTGAACTATGCTTTAAAGAAGTACTAATAAACATAAGGCCACAGAATGACAGTTTCAGCATCATCTGGGATTGTAACACAAATTCTCCCATGCTCTCTCAGGCTTACTAACCCATAACTTCCAAGGGTGGGATTCCTAACTCCGACGCATGCCGGGTTTAAAAAGTGTTCCTTCAAAGTTAAGGTAGGACCTGGGCAAATAGCAAGAAGGTAACAGACATGTACAAGGAGGGGGGAAAAGTGACACCAAAAATAAGGAAGCCTAGAACCCAGAAAACTAGGTAGAACCCATCAAAATATGTCAAGCAAAGGTCTAGAATAATGGGTTGAAAAAGAGATGTTGTGAGGGACTGGGTCTAAAAAGCTATCATAAAGTCCTATGTTATGGTGGAGACGGCCGGAACGTGGGCAGAACAGTGCAACATAAGCATGTGGACTCTAGAGGAACCCAGATCAAGTTTTAGGTCTTAAGGGGAGAAAGACATATCAACCTAAAGAACAAGAGTATACTCAGGCAATTTGAGACGAGAGTTACAGGGGGTTCAGAGGCTCTTCAGAGGAGAACCTCATTTACAGCCTGGAGACAGATGAGTTCAGCAGACAGTCAAATAGGGAGAGGGACAAGGGAAAAGCTCAAGTTGTAAAACGACATGATCTATTCAGTACCAGCAAGGCACTCTGGATTCACTGTCCCCACGTATAGATGAAGAGATGAATAATCCTGACTCCCTTGGGTAGCTGAAGGGATTAACTAAGGAAATTTGACATGCAAATTCTTTTTTTTAAATTGCATTTTACGTTTTGGGGTACATGTGAAGAACATTAAGATTGTTGCATAGGTACGCACATGGCAGTGTGGTTTGCTGCCTTCCTCCCCATCACCTATATCTGGCATTTCTCCCCATGTTACCCCTCCCCAACTCCCCACCCCCCACTGTCCCTCCCCTATTATCCCCCACAGACCCCAGTGTGTGATGCTCCCCTCCCTGTGTCCATGTGTTCTCATTGTTCAATACCCGCCTATGAGTGAGAACATGCAGTGTTTGATTTTCTGTTCTTGTGTCAGTTTGCTGAGAATGATGGTTTCCAGCTTCATCCATGTCCCTACAAAGGACACGAACTCATCGTTTTTTATGGCTGCATAGTATTTCATGGTGTCTATGTGCCACATTTTCCCTGTCCAGTCTATCATCGATGGGCATTTGGGTTGGTTCCAAGTCTTTGCTATTGTAAACAGTGACATAAAAATTCTAACGACCTGCCCAGCATGGAATAAACACTCTTTACAGCCCACTTACTGCCTCTCTTTCCCTTTTGGGTCAATGCAGGGTGAAAGAATAAAAAATATTGAGCTGTCTCTGCAGCTAGTAGGTCAGCTGCTGACTTTAACCATGTTTTCTCCTAATATGTTCTCAGGGCAGCCAGCTAGAGTTCTTGTGGCTGGCAACTTTCACCAGTAGGCACATTCTATTTCAAGAGCTGAGACTCCTTCAATTCCTGCTTCTCACTTTTACTTGGTCAGAGGGACTGCTGCTCCTCAAGTTTGTTACCTCAGATGTGGCTTGCTTTCTAGCTGACACATAACCATTTCTACAGGCAAACGTGCTCTAACTTCTTTCAGAAGAGGACTGTTGGCCATCCTTATGATGGACCAAGTTTTACTCTGAGATGACCTGTGTTTAGCAGAAGCACAACTTGTTGGATTATTTTACACAAATTAGTCCAGCTGGTTGGCTGGAAGAGGTCTTCCGACCCGTGTCTTCTAAGTGATGTTAACAGTGGTTGCTCAAAGTAAAAACAACAAACCAGGTCTACGGTCAAAGAAAGCAAGATGATTGCTGTCCCACGGGACTTCCTCAAAGACTGGGCATCTTAACCTACATTGTCTGAGAGAGCACCAGAGGATGGCATTGTCCAGACTTGTGTGGCCACTATTCCTGAGTGGTGTGTCCTTGGACTCATCTTTGTGGACAATGCATCAAAACACACTAGGTTAAAGCAGGGTAAAAGTAAGGCAGGGTTTTGCCCAAGGTTGACCTCCAGAGAGACTGTGAAGAGATGCTTCTGTGACATTTTCAACTTCCCACTCAGATCCCTTCCCAGGGATTCCCCTCCTTCCACCACAAGCCCACTCGACTTCCCACTTCTCAGTGCATGCTATTTTGGAAAGAATCTGCTAAACTCAACAGCATTAGATTGGCACCTCTTCCGTTGTTTATTCTGTTTACTTGGAAAGCATCTCCCTTTACTATAATTCTACGCATTCAAGGCCAAGTCACTCCCCCCATAAAGACTTATTTGATACCTGCCCTTCACCTCAGTGAAAAAAGATGGTTCTTGTTTTCTTTTCAAACTTTCTCTGCAAGTTTCTACTTTAACTTGTAGTTGTTTGTGTGTTGTCTTGCCTTCACTAGTCGGTATACCCCTTCCCTAATACTTTCATACCTAAACTCAGTCTCACAACATACAGGAAAGCAGAATAGGCAGTTATAATTATAATCACAGTGTGGAGACAATGTAGCTGTGTAGTTAAGAGGGAAGCTGCTGGAGCCAGGCTACCTGAGTTCGAATCCTGTCTTTAGCTATTATACCATTATTATGTAATCTTGGGCAAATTATGTAACATCTCTGGTTCGCAATTTTTCATCTGTGAAATGGTGATGATAACAGTACCTGCCTCAGAGGCTGGCTGAAAGGAATGAGTGAGGTAATGATCAGAATGCTACCTAAATCAATAGGCATTTAGTAGAAGTCCCAGAGAATCTAGAAACGTCCATGTCAGAATTTTTCAGATTTACATCATTTCTTTCCTTCAATATGCTATCCTTCAAAATTGCTCATCCATTCATAATATTTATTAAGCTCATAAATAAGCCAGGTGTGACTCCAGGCAACTGGAAAACAAGACAGACGGGGCCCTGAATTCAAGATCCTTCTACACTCTAGCAAGGAGAAAAAGGAGGCAGAAGGGGTTTGATGCAAAAGTTAAATAAACAGAAAAGATGGCAAACATGCTGGTTTTTTTGTTTATTCTCATGTCATACCCTCCAGCCAAATGATTTATTATACTATTCTATTTTGGCCAAAACTATACTCAGAATGCTTTCTGTTTTATTTACAACTATATTTTTAGAGCTCAACATTTGTTTAGAATGCTTGCCTCATCTCACCAGTTTCTTCAGAGAACGAACAAGGAATCACTCCGGAGTTTTGTATAAATATCTTGTACATGGATTTTGGATGACCCCTCCCCAACACCGGGCCTAAATCTAGGTGCCTCCCCCAAGTGACTGACATGTAACTTAAAAAAATATATATATATTCTTGACTCAGCAGGCAACTGCTGTTTCTGGGCTCACATAGCCTCTAAGAGATTTGTTACTAGAGGAGCATTTTATTGTGAGAAAGAGTTCAGCGTCATTCATAAAACTATAGACTTAACCACTCTCTCCCTTCTGGATTTCAGCTATTAAAAGAGTTCAATCTAATCCCATAGTTTGATTCCTGAGGAGCTTTGGAAATGATGTTTCAGCATCTAGCGAAACAGCCA